TCAGACCGTTGGAGAGTGCGCACTGTGGGCCTGGGATAAGTTGGCTGCTAAGCAGGACAGGCAGCGTTGGCAAAAACACTGAAGGTCTGGATAAATGTGCTAGGCGGCCCGCATGCGGCCCTCTGGCCGTAGTTTGAGGATTACCTATCCTGATCCAACCCTGCCCACCAAGTTTTGATTTTTGCATCAACCCAAAACTTTTTTAGATTTTTATGGATGCTGCCTAATTTTCACATACAATGGCTGTTAACTGTTGTCTACTGTCCAAACAAAGATGATTAAGAAAGGTTTCTGCCCACCTGATAGGCCATTTTCACAGCATCACAGGCAGAAGACTCTACACTCCTGGGCAGATCTGGGGACTTTAAGGCCATCAGAGATGCACAGTTAATTTGGATCAAACCTGGGGTCCCAAAACATCCTAGAGTCACCTCTCTGGAAGAGTGATAGAGCTTGCAGAACCCTACAGAGGCACCCCTCTATTCCTCATGGAAACTTTAATCCTCTCAGGATAGTTCTTTTTCTGTTGGAAATCCAAGACTTTGCAAGCAAACAGGATAAGACCTTCTTAAGGCACTGGGTGAATATAATGAGTGTAGGGCTTAGAATACTTAGGCAGGGAGAAAAATTGGGCTAAGTATTTCCTTTCATTAGAGTCTCTACAGGTAGTCATTTCCCTACTTAGCCAAAGAAAAGCAATGGAAGCAGCTTCCCCCTCACCTATTAAAAGGAGAAAGATAGACATCTTTAATTGAAAGCAAGGCATCACAAAATTCTTTAATTATAAAGCTCAAAGAGGCTTTGAGCTCATCTTGCATCTTCTTGGCCTTCAGCAGGATGGCATTAAGCCTTCCTAAAAAGATAAGACTCAACCTATTTTTAAACATATCCAAAGAGGGCATTCCAGTTTCTGTTCCTTTGTTAGACAGGGGGAATTTTTTTCCCTTTCTAACCTCACCACAGGCGAACTTTTCCTATTACTAACCTAAAGCCTTTGCATTAGAGTTTGGCTTGGTTTGCTCAGCGGAGCGGGTGAACAGCCAGTCACGGTCGGCCTTTTCTAAACTGTACTTCCATCTGTCCATCTGTATGAAATTGTAACACTTAATTAGGATATTTGGATTTAAATCAATAAATTTGGAAATAGATGCCAATGGAATAACTCACTGACAAGGCAAAAGACTGTCTCCCTTCTTTTTGTCATAGCTATTTTTTTTTCTCTGCCATCAGCTCCGATGCTAACACCTCTCCCTTCCCCATCACTCTTGCAAAATTCCCCACCCACGTTCACACGCACAAGTACAAATAGAAAACACTCCTGAAGCATCTAGTTCAGCGGTCCCCAACTTTTTGGTACCAGGGACTGGTTTCATGGAAGACAATATTTTCATGGTCGGGCGTGGAGGGGTGGCTTTGGAATGATTCAAGTGCATTACCTTCATTGTGCAGTCAGACCTCTCTGCTAATGATGATCTGTATTTGCAGCTGCTCCCCATTGCTAGCATCACCACCTCAGATCATCAGGTATTAGATTCCCATAATAAGGCGTGCACAACTTAAGTCCTCAGCACACACGGTTTACAGAGGGTTCATGCTCTTAGGAGACTCTAATGTATCAGCTGATCTGAGAGGAGGCTGAGCTTAAGCAGTGATGCAGCAATGTGGAGCAGCTGTAAATACAGATGAAGCTTTGCTTGCTTGCCCAGCGCTCACCACCTGCTGTGTGGCTCATTCCTAACAGGCCATGGACCGGTATTGGGGTATTGGTCAGTGGCTGGGGGTGGGGAACCACAGATCCAGCTAACATTTAGACCTTACTCCTCACTATTCACATCAAGGGGTAATAGGTAAGGGCACAGATTCTGGAGCCCACTTTCTGGGCTTAAATCCTGGCTCTAGGATGTTGGGCATATTTTGTAATTTCACTAAGCATTTTCTAACCTACAGAATGGAGACAATAATAGTATCTACCTTATAGGGTTGTGGAAAGAATGAATGAGTTAATGCATAAAAAGCCCTTAGAATGAGGTCTGGTACTCTAATCCTAAGTGCTGTACAGTTGTTAGCTATATCCTCCTTGCAGCAAAGGGATATTCAGAGGCATCGAACTATGTCCAATATTCCAAAAGGTAAGTCTGAGAAAGAAAAGGAGTAGGATTCAAGTTCAAGGGAAGTGAATTAGCAAAAAGAGTCACAAAGATGAGAGATTAAAGAAAAAAAAAGCAGAAAGTAAAAGGAGATAGAACAAAAACTATAGTGAAAGGGCAAAACCAGACATTTAACAGGGAAAAGCTAGACAAGGGAGAAAAATAAGGGAAAAGAAGATAAAGAAGAAAAGAAAAAGGGAAACAAGAGTAAAAAGTTGGCATGAAAAGACAGAAGAGGAAAAGAAGAACCAAAGATATTAAAGGAGATCAAAAGTTGTCAAAGACCCCATTTACAGCTTGAGCTGGGTATGGAAAGGAGTGGAAGAGAAAACAAAAATATTGGATATAGAAGTAGGGAAGCTTGGTGCTGAAGGGATGGGGGAGAGAAGGAGCTCAAAGTGATAGAAAGGGCTTTCTTTGTCATTTGCAGCCATAGCCCTCTATCTCTTTAAATTACGGGAAGGGAAGTTTGCATGCTCACTTAACACACCCTGGTCTTCTAGGCTCACTGTCCCTGTTCCTTCTATTTTAACTTGCTTTAGTGTCTGCCCCAGACTTAGTCCCTAAGGTTTGCCCTGGTGGGATGTCAATCTTGTGTTTTTCCTCTGCTGACAAGGCCAATATGCGGTGATACAGTCTTTATTTCATTTTCACTAAATAGTCAACATTTTCAAGTGAAATTTAGCTCTGGAGCAAATATTTATATGCCCTTCCTATTCCAAACATTCAGAAACCTATAAGGGGAACTGTCATATTAATTTTTTAAATCATTCACCTAATGGCATCTCCTCTCCCCATTTTGGTTAATTGAGAACAAGAGGAAAAAACTATACTATATTGCAGGATATGTCGATTGTAGGGTTCCAAGTTGCTCTCCCTACCAAAAGGAATTAATTACCTAACCACTTGGAAACTGGAGAGAGAATGGATTGAGGTTTAAAATAAAATCAGCATTAAAAAAAAATACTTTTAAAGTATTATCTGATTAAATTGCCTGTTAGGTGCAAAATACGTTCCCCTATTTGAGGAAGTCAGGAGAGCTTAAAGGGCCCTCTAAACAGACGCACTGAACGGACGGCAGCGTCTCCCCAGGCCGGGGTGATCCTGGGCCGCCGCCGCCCGAGTCACGAAGCCAGACGCGGTGCGCGTCTCCGCCCAGGACTCGGGAGACTGCAGCAGCGCGAGCGGCGGCCGCGGCCCGGGTTGCTCCTGGAGGCGGGGAGGAGACGCGGCTCCCGCAGCCACGTGACCTCCTCCCAGCCGCCGCTTCCCGCGACCCAGATCCGTCCCCGGAACCCGTGCCTGGCGGGGCGGGCCGGGGGACACGTAGCGAGCGCCCCAGTCCCTGCTGCGCCCTGGTGCGTGTACATTCGGCTTCCTTCTCCCCTGGGCTCACGCGCCACTGGCAATAGTCAATGTTTCGGAGATCACCCGGGGAGAATGCAAATATTACTCTCGGGGCAGGAAAAACCTTGGCTTTATAGCTGTATGGATGTCAAGATTAATATCTATCCCCTCCATCCCTCCCCCGGCAGACTCGAGTAGCGGCAACATCGGGCCGGAGACCTGGGAGTCCCTCGGGACATGCTTCCCCCCCTGGCCTCCAAGGCCCCTTGCCGCCTGCTGCGCAGGGCGCCGTGGGTAGCGCGCATCTCCGGGCACCTCCCGGGAACTCTCACTGGCAGTGAGTCACGCTCCGGGGCGGCTCTGGGAAAAGGCAGCCCGGCTCGTGCTGGTCTGTGCTTCCCCGCGCCGAGCGCCGCGGCTGCAGGGCGAGCGCGCGCGCGCACGGGTTCCCCGCGCAGTGATGTGGCAGCAGCGGCAGGTCGGATCACGTTGCTGGCCCTGTGCTGGTACCCGTTTGAGACAGGATTAAGGAGGGAGGCTTTGGAGGTGCCAGCGGTAGTAAACGTGGGCTCTGCACACTCCGGGCGTCTCTTATCACACGGGGGGAGAGGGAGGGGGGACCGGGAAAGCACGTAGCGTCACCGGAGGCGCAGAGGGGCGGCGGAGTTTAGCGGGCGGGTGACAAATGCTGCATTGCTTTTCTGCGGTAGCCCCCCTCTCGTGCCATCCCCTTCTGCCCCCCCCCCCCCCGAGACACACACACACACACACACACACACACACACACACACACACACACACACACACACCCAGGTCGCTCCCGCCGCGTTCCTCTGGGAGCACACGAGGCCCCAAACGTCGTCATCTGCTGCTGTGATTAGTGGCACCGCAATTCCGGCTGCTGCGGGGAAGTTTAGGTGGCCCAGGGACACCGCGTCGCTTAAAGACACTTGGATTGCGACATTGTAACCCAGTGACTACATTTTCATTTATTTGAAATCCTTCAGGGAGAGGATTTCAAGTTGCTCTTTTTCGGGGCAACCTCCAGCCAGCGCCAAAGGGTCCCCCTCACCACCCCCACCCCCGGGCCACCGAGCGGCGAGCAAACAAGTCTCCAAAATTTCCTTTGGGACTGAAGTTTGCCCACCGCGAATTCTCTTTCTCTTTCCTTTCTCTGGTCCAAACCAACAGCACAATCGGTGGAAACCAAAAAGCCACGTTCACATTCCTGCACCGTAATGACGGACTAACGGAGGGAGTCGCATTTCCGAGCCAAGGAAGCCCAGGCTGCCCCGCACCCCCAAACCCCAGCCTCCAGCCCCCAGCCCCTAGCCTCCAGCCCCCTCGCCCTGCTGACTGTATCGCCTTTGGGAAGATGAATAGCTTGGCCCAAGTTGTTTTTCCTTTCCGGTGGCCCTGATCAGGTGTCCCCGCCCCCTCCCGCCGGTCGCCTTTCCTCGCCGCCTTCTCCAGACGCCCCCTCCCGGCCCGGTCCCTCCTCCCCCGCCCCCCTCCGGGCTGGACCGCGGATGGTACGTTCCGCACGTGAGCTGGGTGCTGGTCTGGCCGGCGACGCGCGTGCCCTGTGGCCAAACACTGCCTGGAGTGAGAGCAAACTACCAGCGCAGTGGGGCCGGCGCGAGTGTGCGTGTGTGCGCGCGTGTGTGTGAGCGAGCGAGCGAGCGCGGTGGAGCAGGGGGGGACAACTGCTTCACACTTTCAACACTGCACTGAAGAGGGAGAGCGAGAGAGAGAGACTGGAGACGCACAGATCCCCCCAAGATCTCCCAAGCCTACCGTCCCACAGATTATAGAACAGAGCCCCAAAAATCGAAACAGAGGAGACGGGCAGCGGTTGAACATGGACGAAGGAATTCCTCATTTGCAAGAGAGACAGTTACTGGAACATAGAGATTTTATAGGGTAAGGTGCACGCACCCTTGCGAATTTCTGTCTGGGCTTCGGTTTGATTTTTTTCTTCTCCAGAAAGTGGTGTGGAGCGGGCGAGGGCAGAGCCCCCCCTCCCCGAATGGGTGCCTGATGCTGATTTCTGTTTTGCAGACTGGATTATTCCTCTTTGTATATGTGTAAACCCAAAAGGAGCATGAAACGAGACGACAGCAAGGTAAGTGTAAGTTTCCGATGTTCCTCATAACCTGCCTGGATAGTTAATTAGGGCCATTGATTTCACAGTCGAGCTCTGCCGGCAAATATATTCCAACCCCTGAGCTTCCCCAACTGTGAATTTTAAGTGGCTTGCAGGATACTCTCAGGGGGATATTAAACATCATACCTGAATTTAAATTGCATTGCAGAGCAGTCCAGAGGAAAGAGGTTTCTTGGGTGTAGTTTATTCACACAGTATGTTTTATTTGGGGGTGGGGGGTTATGTCCAGTAAGTGAATGTTTAGCTTATTGTTTTCTCTCTTTCACGACTCTCATATATTAAGGATACCTACAAATTACCGCACAGATTAATAGAAAAGAAAAGAAGAGACCGAATTAATGAATGCATTGCTCAGCTGAAAGATTTACTGCCTGAACATCTGAAATTGACAGTAAGATGCATATTTTCATTCTTTGCTGCTCTCCAAGGGCGTGTTAATAGCTTGGTACGACTCCCAGAAATATAAGAATAAATGTAAATATTAGATGCCTGACTTATAACTTGTGCTATAGTATACAGAGTTTCCCAGAAACTCAGAGTAGGTGCTCCCAACTGAAGGCACGACATCATTTATAACCTGCCTTGTGAGAAGCTCAAGAAGTATAGTACTTCTTTCAAAGTGTTTGCTTAAGTTGCAGTGTTGAATGGAGAGCCAATCAAGCCCAGTGTGTGTTTTTAAGTAACCAAGTGGCCCCCTCTCTTTTGCACCACTGCAGACTCTGGGGCATCTGGAGAAAGCTGTTGTCTTGGAATTAACTTTGAAACACTTAAAAGCTTTAACCGCCTTAACCGAGCAGCAGCATCAGAAGATAATTGCTTTACAGAATGGTAAGTCAGTTCTGGGAGGCCAACCTACCCTGACGAAGCGGGGCCGCCCACAGAGGAGCAGTGTTAGGACTCCCTCACCCCACCCCCACCTCCCTCTGTGGGCTCACGGGCTCCCTCTCATTTGCTAAATTGCTCGTACTTTCCCTTCATTGGTAAGTGCCCATTTTCCGAAGCATCCTAGAGGCTTTGAGCAGAGCTGGGGGAATCAGATTTTTAAAGTGGCGGTTGCACCCTCTCTCCACTTGGGTTTTCAGCTGGGAGGAGAGCGCCCCCCTACCCGCTATCCGCCCCCGCCACCCCGCTTCTCTCGGCAACCGGTGGATTATATCACTCGAATACTGAGGGGAAAACCTAGATCACTTTAGTCAGTGCATGGCCCACGTGATAAGCAGATGTTTAACGCCGGTATTTCTCTTCTTGCCTCCGCTCCTCTGCCCCCCACCCCCACCCCTTCCTCGTCCTAGGGGAGCGATCTCTGAAATCGCCCATTCAGTCTGACTTGGATGCGTTCCACTCGGGATTTCAAACATGCGCCAAAGAAGTCTTGCAATACCTCTCCCGGTTTGAGAGCTGGACACCCAGGGAGCCGCGGTGCGTCCAGCTGATCAACCACTTGCACGCCGTGGCCACCCAGTTCTTGCCCACCCCGCAGCTGTTGACTCAACAGGTCCCTCTGAGCAAAGGCGCGGGCGCCGCCTCGGCCGCCGCCCCCGCGGGGTCGGCCGCCGCGCCCTGCCTGGAGCGCGCGGGGCAGAAGCTGGAGCCCCTGGCGCACTGCGTGCCGGTCATCCAGCGGACTCAGCCCAGCGCCGAGCTCGCCGCCGAGAACGACACGGACACCGACAGCGGCTACGGCGGCGAGGCCGAGGCCCGGCCGGACCGCGGGAAGAGCAAAGGCGCGGGGGCGAGCCGCGTCACCATCAAGCAGGAGCCGCCCGGGGAGGACTCGCCGGCGCCCAAGAGGATGCGGCTGGATTCCCGCGGCGGGGCGGGCGGGCGGCGGCGGCCCGGGCGGCGCGGCGCGGGCGGCGGCCGCGCTCCTGGGGCCAGACCCGGCCGCGGCCGCCGCGCTGCTGAGACCCGACGCCGCCCTGCTCAGCTCGCTGGTGGCGTTCGGCGGCGGCGGGGGCGCGCCCTTCGCGCAGCCCGCGGCCGCCGCGGCCCCCTTCTGCCTGCCCTTCTACTTCCTCTCGCCCTCGGCCGCCGCCGCCTACGTGCAGCCCTTCCTGGACAAGAGCGGCCTGGAGAAGTATCTGTACCCGGCGGCCGCCGCCGCCCCGTTCCCGCTGCTGTACCCCGGCATCCCCGCCCCGGCCGCCGCCGCCGCCGCCGCCGCGGCCGCCGCCGCCGCCGCCGCCTTCCCCTGCCTGTCCTCCGTGTTGTCGCCCCCTCCCGAGAAAGCCGCGGGCGCCGCCGCCGCGACCCTCCTGCCGCACGAGGTGGCGCCCCCTGCGGCGCTGCACGCCCCGCACCCGCACGGCCGCACCCACCTGCCCTTCGCCGGCCCCCGCGAGCCGGGGAACCCGGAGAGCTCCGCTCAGGAAGACCCCTCGCAGCCGGGAAAGGAAGGCCCCTGAGTCCTCGCGCCCCTTTCTTCGAAAGGACGGAGGTTCCCGCTGAATAACGAACGGAAACACCCTGAACGTTCTTAAGGGAGGAAGTGCACTAGATGCACGACAGGCATAAAAAAAACAAAACAAAACAAAAAAAAAACCCCAGGTGTTTTGTGTACATTTGGAGTTCCTGTTTTTGCTCTTCCCTCACCGCCCCACCCTGCACACACTAACGTCCCTTTCTTTCCCCTACCGGCTGTAAAAGATACTCTGCGATAGATAGCTATTGGTTCTTTATTCTTTAAAGAATCCTCAGAATAAGTTCTGCCTCCTTTTAGGCCATGTTACTTTTTACAATGTGGGACCTGTTTCTAGAGAAGGTGGGAGAGGTCTGCTCTGTGGGCGAGCTCATGGAAACCAGGGTAGGAGAAAGGGGGAGACACCTTTGCCTGGAGTCGACATGGGATGGCAGGTAGTTGTGACGCAGAGCTGCTTCTCGAAGCTGCCCTGCCTGTTTTAGGAGGCTTCCCGCAGACAGATTGAGGATCTTTTAGAATTAAATTTACTCTTCAGTATTTTATAAGGTTCAGCTTTTTGAAAGGCGTCTATTTTTCAGAGCAAAAGTGAGGATGCAGTTTGCTCACATTGCAATCTATTCTGGAGTGGTTTAAATGGTATCTCTTAGTAACTTGCACTTGCCTACAGAGACATGGAGTTGGGCCACCGTCAGAACTAAGTCAGGGAAGGAGATGGACGAGGAAGGCCAGAGTCATTGTTAGTACGTTTGCTAGCACTTTATTGAGAAATTGGCCATGAATCAATGGACTCATCTTAATTTCTTCTTAGTCCATATATGTGTATATATATACATATATCTCTCAAGTGCATCTTATTCCCACGCTCATTAATCCATCACGTTCCTAAAGTTTTGTAATCTTACTGTTTAAAAAAAAAGTGCACTGAATTTAAAACAAGTCCAAACTGATTTATCCTATATTCTGTTAAATGACAAAAGTGGATGAAAGCAGTAAACTGGTCAGTTTTGATTGGAAATGCTGTATAGATGTGGATGAAGCCCTGTGAGGCCTTCCTATCTCCAAGTCTATGTATTTTTCTGGAGACCAAACCAGATACCAGATAATCACAAAGAAAGCTTTTTTAATAAGGCTTAAACCAAGACCTTGTCTAGATATTTTTAGTTTGTTGCCAAGGTAGCACTGTGAGAAATCTCACTTGAATGTTATGTAAGGGGTGAGACACAACAGTCTGACTATGAGTGAGGAAAATATCTGGGTCTTTTAGTCAGTTTGGTGCATTTGCTGCTGCTGTCGCTACTGTTTGCCTCAAACGCTGTGTTTAAACAACGTTAAACTCTTAGCCTACAAGGTGGCTCTTATGTACATAGTTGTTAATACATCCAATTAATGATGTCTGACATGCTATTTTTGTAGGGAGAAAAATATGTGCTAATGATATTTTGAGTTAAAATACCTTTTGGGGAGGATTTGCTGAAAAGTTGCACTTTTGTTACAATGCTTATTGCTTGGTACAAGCTTATGCTGTCTTAAATTATTAAAAATAAATAAATACTGTCTGCAAGAAACCAGCTGGTTTAGAAAAGTTTAGTATTTGAAGACAAACTAGAAATTATCTTTATATTCTAGTATTTTCAGCACTCCATAAATTCTATTACCTAAATATTGCCACACTATTTTGTGATTTAAAAATTCTTACTAAGGAATAAAAACTTTAATATTTGATATGAGATTGTCTAGTAATTAAAAAGACATAATGAATGCTCAGTTGGTTTTAAGATACTGATGACTATGGGGATGAAAGTCGCTAAGGCTCTCAGATATACAGCTTTTTTTGTCATTGGCTTGATATCACATGTTTCCAATCTCTTGCAAGCCTCCAGGCTCTGGCTATGTCTACTTGCTTGTTCCCAATGTATCTTAATGAAAAGTGCAAAAGAAAAGCCTACCAATCACTTGCGTGGTTTGTTTATGTTAGACCCAATTTGCTAGTGTTTTTTATGATTGATGAGTTCTTCATTTTTCGTCTATGACATCAGATAGCCTCTCGATATGATCTGGTGTTTCTCCTTCACTAGATCCTGTATGAATATACTACCACATTCGGGGGGCTTACTTTCTGAGAGTATTTTGGCTACTTAATTTTTATAAAAGTAACTGTCGTGGGACTTTATCATGGAATTCAAAGATCAGAAATAATTTCTATAGACTTTTGCCACATTTATAATCAGATCTGTGATTTCATACAAACTGAGTGACAGACTGTCAAGTTTTAGTGTCAGCAGTGTTCTTCACAAACCCCTTCATTTTTGGAAGGTGTTTTAAATGATATTCAAAATGTATAAGATGTAGAAAAAGTGCTCCCTCTGCTGACTTTATGACAACTGAACTGCAAGTCATAGAATGCAGAGCCAGAAAGAACCTTAGCTCATCTAGTCCTCTGCATTCTGTAATAGGAGGAAAATGAAGCCCAGAGATAGTATCTTTCCAAAGCCACACAGCTACCTAGAGCCAGCACTAACTCTAGTGGCCAGGCCCTAGTGTATCCCACAGTCAGTGAACTACTTTCCACTGCCGCACCTTGGACTATGTAAGCTGACATGTAAACTGAATTCGATTGGGCAGCACTCAAGCTCCATAAATAAACCCACAGGAACAAAGAAAATAAACATTAGAAAACTATGTAGGATTTTTGAGCATTGTAAATTTAATGAACTTTAGGAAAATAGTCTGTCCATCTAAATCAGACTGATGGGAAAAACAGCATTTTAAATATTTCAAGCTACATTTTAATACCATTATTACATTAATATTAGTTTCATAACCAAAGAAATATTAAAAGTAATTCAGAGGATAATAAAATGTTTTCACATTTGTATAATTTTGATACAATGCCATAAAAAACTTTAGCACTGGGCCAGATTTTATAGGTCATTTAGTCCAGATGTCTATATAGTAACATGATAATAATTTGATAAAGTTAGAATAGAAATGCACATTGCATCTGCAAAATGTTATATTGGTCACTGATTTATTTTAATGAATTATAAAGATTGAAGTCATTATAATTCACTAAGGAGGCTTCTATACCTGCAGTGGTGAAATTTCAGCTAAAATGCTTTGAGTATATGTGATTTTCCAACTTAAATGTGAATTTTGAGTCAATAATGTTTTTGTGAATATAGCATTATACTGATTAATTTTACATACATATATTTCTCAGCAAACTTTATATAGAATTGATAAATGGCCTTTTCCCCCTAAAGAGTTAAACTGAAGCACATTTTCAAGGCACTAGAAACTATAATAGCTATATAAAATTTGACTTGAGTTTTTTAGTTCCTATTATTGTGAAACTGCTTTTCATTTAGTTCTCTAATACTGACCATATAGGCTGTGATTTTGGTTATTGCCTGCTACCCGAGATTTGTTCATATATTATGTAAAAGGAGCCTCAGCCAACTTCTATCTATGTCACAGGTCAATTCTTAACCTCTCCATGGGAGGTGATGGCCAATGGGGACCCTGGGAAGACAGGGCTGAGCAAATAGACTAAGGCCTTTTGCTTTACTAAACAGAGCTCTCATGAATGACTTGAGACCATTATAATGCCAAAAGCTGGCTGTACTATTGTTATAATGGTATTTTACTTCAGATAGGCACCTGGTATTTTTAATTAAACAAAATGTCTTAACCTATTGGACCCTTAGGTCTATATATTTAGGCCTACCTATGCTCTCACTGTGTTATTTTAGATTAGTTCAAAGTGGATTTATAGGGCATGCTAAAGTCCAATAGAAGTTCCAGTTTTTCATAGAAGAATTTAAGTAGGGGATTGACATAGAAAATTATCACATAGTTTCTGTGATTAACATGGGATTTATACTAAAAAACATGTGCAGCATGTACTTTAAAAATACACTATTCTAGGAGTTGATCATTGTCTTAAAATTCAGTTTCTTATACTTTTGAGCTATTCTATATTGGAAATTCGAAACAAATATACAACAGTTACAACTTTTTAAAAAGTGATATTTTAAAATTCTAAATTCACTGATGCGTAGTTTGTCTGGCCTCAGGGAATATGTGCCCATGAAACAATGATTCAGAAAACCAAAGCTTCTAGGTTCAAGTGCCAATGCTTTTTAAAACAATTTTGGTGTATTACACATATCCCCTAAAATATCTTTTACATATATTAAAAAAAATCCTGTACATATTTAACCTTTCTCTATAATTCAAGGTCATCATGATAAACACCACTTTTGCACTATGCATGTCATCTGGGAGTATTTGCACCTGCATCAAATTCTTTTTGAGTTCTTCTCTCTGCTTTTTATAGGGTTTTCAGTCTCTTTACTCACAGCCAGGCTGTCAGCTGTCACTTCTTGATATGTCTTTAGTGCTTCCTCCAACTCTTACCTAATTTGCTACCTCTGACTTACTGTGGGCTGGGAAACCATTTAAACAAAACCACACCCATTTGAAATGTGTCTAAAATTAGAGTAAATAGGCTCTGACAAAGGACCTGAGCGGCTTTTTTATAAGTAAATTGTGTGAATTAGTAGACTCTGACTTGTTTTTCCCTCCAAGCTTTTTTCCTTTGCTTCCTTTAACTTCCAGATTCTCAGGGATGGTCCTCATCAGATTACTTACGCAAAAGCTTTCAAATACTTTATATATTTCTCCAACATTTCATCTCATAAAAATAAAAGCAGCTTGCTAATAGTTTCATGCCACAGCTAACAACAAAATAAACAAATCTCCATGTCAGAAATAAATTATTTGATTGGATGAACACTTCTCTTAGGTTGCTAAGAATAGGGGACCAAGGGCCACTTGTAAAAACTGATTTAGTATTTTGATCTAAGAATGACCCTGGACTCTGTTTCTGGTGTGTAACCTCCTCTGCTTCTGGGTTTTGGACGTCTTGGGTGGCAAGTCCAGCAAAAGCATTCTGAGGAACTGGTAGGGCGGGGTGTGTAGCCCGGATGCTGCCTCTGAATTTAGACACACCCATGGGAGAACATACAGAGGTTTCAGACTTCTCATTGATTGTAGCACACTGCTTTAGGAGCCTATAGATTCAATAAATAGTGGGTACTAGATTTAGACATTTGTTCTGCTCCTGCTGTCTGGGAAGTGCTGTGGGAAGTGCCAGAGAATCAAAGATTAATCTCTGAAGATCTCTAAGTCTAGTGGAGGTGACAGACCCGTACTAAAATAAATTGCATTGCATCATAGTAAATGCTATGCAGGGATGGATAAAATGCTGGGGTGGAGGTGGGGATTCCTAACTTCATCTAGGTAAGAAGGCCTCGAGAAGTAGCTGGGTTTTGCAATGAATGGGAGACTGAATGCATGTGGACATATCTAAGCAGAAGGCTCTGGCAGAGCCTGGTCCTATGCTAAGCTGCAGGACAGTTTAACTGGTTATATTTGACTTGAGGTCTGGGCAAGGATTTCCTAACTTTGCAGTCTCTTTAGAACTTGACTGCTATGGTCTCATCAGCATCTCCTGAGGATTTGAACCATGGCCTGGGACCAGGGAGTCATCATGTTTCCTGCTGCAAAAGGTGGTATGATAGCATTCACAACGTGATAGTGTCTTATGCAGTAGAGGAAAAAATAGCACTACCTCATGAGCAGCTCTGTCAAATGTCCTTCCTCTATCTGTTTTACTAATGAAACTAATGGTGACCTTTTTCCCCTCCAGTAATGGGGAGGTGGAGAGAGAGAGAGAGAGAGAGAGAGAGAGAGAGAGAGAGAGAGAGAGAGACACTAAGCGCTAAAGCCCTAGAGGGAAACATGGCATGCTAAGGCCTGATTTTCAAAAACCTCTGGGAGGAAGCTGAGGCAAGGAACTAGTCCAAGGTCACATAGACAGGTACAGGGAACCAGGATAGGCATCAGATTTTTGGTTCTTAGTCTACCTCTCTTCATCCTATTACAACATAGTTTTAGTAATGAGAAGGGGAGCGGCTGAGGTTTTCTCATGGAATGAGTACAGCTAGTCCATGTGAGATCCTAAGGGGCAGAGTATAGTTAGTTGTTGGTGGAGAAGAAAGTGACCACGGTAACAGACTGAAGAAATTATGGAATAGAGCCTGCAATAATTATGAGATGAAATTCTGAAGAAAGAATTTTCAGAGTCTGCTACAAAGGATCATACTATTCTGCAGTCTACTAACTTTGGAGACACCCAGAAATGTGCCTTTTCTGCTTTGGAAGTCTTCACATTACCTCCTGAGTTTTCTACCCGTGCCTCCACCCTTCTGTACCTGCGTGTTCCTGTGTGCTCTAGAGGTTCTCCAGGAAAGAAGGGACCTAGGACCAAAACAGCCTATGAAACTGGCCAGAGGCAACTTCTAGAACTGAGGAAGCAGGAAAGAGGGCCATGTGCTACAGTTTTTACACGGGGTATTTTTAGGGCGCTGTGAACTTTAGCTAAGGTTTCAATTTTGGAGCCTTTTCCATTATAGCTCCAAAGAGTATTATGTGTTGCACAACACAGGTATTGAGTATTTACCAGATAGGTCTGTAATAAATTTTGCTTCCATGCGCAGCTTTGCAGCTTCCTCGCTGTGATTCAAAAATTAGCTTTAACAGGGGCCTTCAGCCTGGACCCAACTCCTGGAGTCCTCAGTTACTTAAAGCAACCAGATAAACCCCTGCAATAAGACATTATAAAGACACCGAATTCTTTCTATGATACCTTAAGCAGAATATATATATGTATGTGTGTGTATATATATATATATATATATATATATAATCTTGAACAAAGCTTATCTGCCTAGCTGTAGCGTGGCTGTATAAACCGCATGTGACCAAACAGAAAAAGAAACCTGACATGCCCACACCCCTGCAGGTCTCTGCAAGACACACAGTGGGTGCGATGATGGATCGATTTCTGGAGCTGTGTCTGAACCGCACTCGTTTTAACCC